ATTATGATTATTATTATTATTGTGGGGGCTGTAATATATCACTTATGTCATTTACAAAACGCTCATGAATCTCATTTGTTCCCTTTTCTTCGTTGTTTTACCTCAGAGATTTGTAAGAATTTAAACACATTTTCCATGTATCAATTTAGAAAAAAAAAACGTGTTACAAATTGTAAAGATTTTGTAAATTCTGAGAAGTTTTGGTATTCAATTATACTAGAACAATGATTATAGTTTTGCACCTCATTATAAATTCATAGACCAATAAACTGTTCTGACAGGGCATATGCAAATGGATCTCTTCTGTGGTTATTTTGTTTAACAAACTTTGCGGATATTTGTTTCATAATTAACCAAGAAATTATTATATTGCCTTAAAAAAGGGTGCCGAGCAAAAGGAACAGGGAATCAAAAAATAGGATCTATTTAAAGGGCAATAATTCGGTTATCTTTGCACAAATTTAAACAAAATTATCGAGCAATAACAATTCTACCAAAGGGATGTCAAATGTGTTAATGATATGGAGAAAACTTTCAGTGCACAACTGCACATTATGCTTGATTTTTTTTTTTTTAGCAAATTGCAAATTTTAATGTTTTACTCAATTTCGGTTAAGATTTTTAAAACTTGATTATTCTTGAGCTTGTACATTAGATTCTAGCTGGGAATTTTTTGTGCTTATCTTTTTAGCGTAAATTTTAAGCAATGTTTTCTAAAAAGTGAGGCAAAAGTGACTGCCTTGTATCCCTTCAAAAGGGTTGTTTCATGGTTGTTTTTTTCTTAGACAGCTACTACTTGAAGCTATCAATCCACTTTCTCATTTACACCAGATCTGGTAAAGGTAATCAGTTATAAAAAGAAACACGCTTGCTGAACCTAACTCGTGCAAGGCTTGGGCTCAATTCCAGCACAGGAGGCGGAGAGGATGGTGTGTGTGTAAAAGGGAGGGGGCGAGGGGGGGGGGTGGGAGGGAATAGTTTAAAACGGCTAAACTGTTGTTTTGGGATTTCCATGGCTCTGCTCCCACCTGCAAGGCTTGGTCTACCCTATCAAAGACCGACATTTAATCAAGAATTCCGCTTTTTAAATAACATTTATTTGTATAGCGTTAAAAACGCTTCGAGTACACAGGTTCTGGGTGCTTTAGAGTACAGCAGCGACATATAAACAGTACATAGTGTTCTAACCCCAAAGAAAACCATTCTCTAAACAATTATCTCAGTCTTGAAACAAGTGTTAAGATCGTTCCACACCTCATGCAAAAATAGAATATAAAATTACCCCAGAATACTTCTCATTATTGACACAAGACGAGAAAAACTCTACATTTACGGTAATATTATTGTTGACTAGAGTACAACTGAATAACAATATTTTTAAAATTAGAAAATGAATAATATTCTAAGATGACTCGTGTGCAGATATCTTAAGTGACTATTACTCAAAAGAGTGTATTATATGAATTTAGCTGGTTGTTTTGTTGTGTACTGGAATATCTCATTTTCTTTCAAGCAAAACGGGGAGTGCCTTTATAAGGTTCGTGATAGCTCCCGCGAAAAAGCAATTTGGACTTTATTGCGTATTGAGTTATGAGGCAAGTTTTGAAATTTATTTTTTGTCACGCTTGAACTGGTGGAATATTATACAGGGTAGATTCTGAAAAGGACAACAATTTCAAAGTAAACAACAATTTAATAATAACTATAAACAAGTCATACTCAAAGCAATTCGCCGACATTCATATTTATGTATTTGATTTATTCAAAAAATGGAGGAAAAGAAACGTGAACATGATTCTTTTGTGGTGTAAGGACAATGGGGGAGAAGGAGAAGGTGAATAATACCAATCGAATGCGTACCTAGAGCAGCGTACATACACATACACAGGCACACGCATGCACGTACACATACACGCACACAAACACACACACACACACACACACACACACATACAAACATACATACATACATACATACATACATACATACATACATACATACATACATACAAACATACATGCATACATACATACATACATACATACACACGTACACTTACGCAAAGGTACACTCGCAGGCACACACACACACATGCCGACACATACATAATTTATGCATACATACAAAAACACACATCCACGTTGGCAAACAAGCAGGCACACTAGCAGGCAGGCATGCATACATTCGAGCTGGTATGCAGTACATACATAATATATACATAATATACATAAATACTTTAATATTTCTTTCTCTATTAATCTTTCTCTTTTTCTTGCTCTCTCTCTCTCTCTCTCTCTCTCTCTCCCTCTCTCTCTCTCTCTCTCTCTCTCTCTCTCTCTCTTTCTCTCATTCTCTCTCTCTCTCCTTCGCCCCCACCCCCTCCCACTCCCCCCCCCCAATCCCACTCTCTCTGTTAAGATTGTAATATGTAATATTAATAATACTATAAACAAATATCTACTTGCCATCTGTGACATATTATTTTCATTTCCTTTATATGTTTTTGATGGCGGACTCTATGTTTTTAAATTATAATCAGTTGAAGAACAAATCAGTAAGATAATCTTTCTTAACAATATTATCCAAGCCCTACATATAATATGCTGTTCCATTATCCTAAGCTACAGAAAACATCTGTAGGCAACTTGTTCCTTCCATCCCTATCACAGTCAAAATCCTGTACTACAACAAAAAACAAATCAATATCGAATGTCTCCACTTTCAACAAAAACGACATGGCATTGGGTGAAGGGCACACGCCCAAAGGTGTAAAAGCTTAAATATAAAAACATTAACGACAACAACAGCAGCAGTACCAACAACTACTCTCTTGATATAATATATCAAAGGTCAAAATGACTGTGTTCTGATTGAGATGACCATTAGCATTAGAATTAGAATTATCCAATCAATTTCCTCCCCGAGGGAAGAACAGAACAAATCTATGCTGAAATACTTCAGAATTGTGACCTGATGTTTAATAGTTATGAAGCAATAAAGTCAAAAGAGAGAGAAATGTGTAAACAACAATGAATGAAAATTAGACTGATCTTAAGGCCATGCACAATATCACTTCTTCTAGACTAATTAAGTGGTGAAATAAAAAGACGATACGTCTGTCCTCACTAGGGGTCAACAACGTTTGTTAACCCCTATCTTCGTATTTTGTTCATAGCCCAGCGACTATAATAATAATAATGATAATGATAATAATAATAATCATAATAATCATACATAAAACAATAATAATATTAATGATAATAATAATAATGATAATAATAAAAACTAACAGTAATAACAGTAGCACATGCCATCTCAACAACAGAAGAGGAGTTTGGTTCTTTGGTGCTGTTAATAATAATAATATTGCTGTCTTTATTTTGTTCGTCTATTTTCCGATGGGTTTTCCACATTGGTACAGTAAACACATTTAAACTCGAAATTAAAGTTGAAATATGTCATTGCACCACATTTGGTTACTTTTAAGCACAAGGGGGCTATCCCGAAAAATACTGTTTTGAGAAAATCGAAGGCAAAATTTTTGCCCCTTGTTCAATTTTCTTTAAAAGACAAGCAGAGTTTTCTCTATAACCAAACAAATATACACACCAATGAAACCAAAATTCTCCTGTAGGTAGGGAAAAGCCCACTTTTGGTGTAGATCAAGATTTCTGGAAACCCGAAATCTGGGTTAGCCTGCTTGTCCTTAAAAGCGACCATTTACCGCTGCATGTCAGTTCAGTGGAAGAAACCGCCCTCGCCCTCTTTTCTCTCGCTGATGCTGATGACAGACGGAGTCACTTTGTGCGTCAAAGTAGGCGAAGTGCTGAGCCTCTCGGAACGGACTACTGTTGTAGACGTTGGGGCAGATGGTAAAACTGACGTCAAAACCGTAGTGGTTTTATTATTTGGGAGCGTAGTAGGGGCAGGGGCGGACGGGGTTGTGGTGTCAGGGGTCAAGATCGGGGTCAATTTTGTGTTAACAGCTGCTGGGGTCACACGTCCTGATTCTTCCAGCTGTTCCACGCCTGCGATAGGTAGATAGACTTTGACCCGCACTCGTTTGCGCTCGCTGTTGGAACTGTTACTGCAGCTGTCGTCTGTGTTTTCGTCGTTATTGTTGATGTCGTCGTGGTTGACAATGTTGTTGTTGTTGTTGTTGTTTGTGGTGCTGTTGTTGTGATTAGTGTCAGGGATATCACCTTCATGCTCATTGTCATTTTGAAAAGCAGCAGCAGCACTGGTACCTCTCAACTCGCAAAGGAGCACATCAGCAGTAGGGGGTACGTTGTTATCGAGGTTATTTCTTGAATATTGTACTTCATCTGCCGTCAAATACTCATTTCTCGGAAAGCCGTGACCTTCACCGTTCTGAGCGTGGTTTGGGAGAAGATACGAAGGTGTTTTATTACTCTGTATTGGCTCATTATGGTGAAAGGAATCGCCATTGGGTGAAAATGGAAGCCTTTCTGTCTCAAGTTCAGAGCTAACTGGTAGCCTAGTCTTTTGCCGCGAAAACCTGTTATGACTAGAATGAGAAGAAGACAGGACGGGGTTTGAACCGCTGTTGATAAACGGAGATACCCGATGGTCTCCGTGGTCCGGGGTGCTCGGAGGTGCGGCTGGACGAATTTCCCAGAAATCCTCTCGGTTTTGAACTCTGAACTTTCTTCTGGAAGTTTCGTGAGTGTATGGGAGTCCGGCTGGTAACATTTTCGTCACTTCCCTTCCTCCAGAGTCAGCTATTTTTGTCCTCCCGAAAGTCAAGGTTGGCGTGGGTTTATGAAGTACGGGCTGGGAATTGCCAGCGCCGTCATGAACATTTGTAGGGTGAGAAGAAGGCGTTGATTTTCGTGTTGGAGAATCTGTGTGCTGAGTGCGTGTTTCTGGCGACACACCCCCATGCACTTCAGAGTCATTATCTGCACCTATCCGCAGATACCGGCCGTCTGTTTTCTCGGATCTCTCTCCATTAAGGAGTGATCTCAGGCTGCTAGAA